AATATATTTTTTAAGGGCAGTGTTGGGGACAGCAGCATGGATAGAGGACATCCAGCTCTCCACAATCAGTCATTTCTCATGAAGTCCTTAACGTTCTCATCCTGTGATCCTGGTGCTGCCTCAGTGCTGTTGCCATACATGTCCCCACTCCGGATGGTCTCACAGGCTGCTGTACACGTCCACACCCCAGATGGTTTCAGCAGAGCTGCTTCGTGCTGTTCCGCCCAGCACAGGCCCAAGGCCTCACTCTAGCCCGCCGTGCCTGCTTCTGGAGCTGGCTCTTCCGTTCTCACAGGTCCCAGGTCGGCATGATGGCCCGTGCATTTCCACTAGATGCACCTGTCTGCTGAAAGAGTCTTGAACTGGGTAAACATGGTCTCCACTCCAGTACACTGTATTCTTAGAGGAAGAAACATACACCACATACTCTGGTTGTGGATGCACTTAACTGGGTCAAGTCCATCTTTTTCACCTTCATTGTGTATTCCATGAACTGTTGGTCAGGCTTTTAAGCCTTCCAGAAGCCCACTAGCATAGCATTTCACTTCCTGTTACCTTTTCCCTAGAAACTCCAGTGTGTCACAAATCTTGTCACATTTGCCTGTGTTCGAGTCAGACAGACCTCTACCTGATTTGCCCTTCTCTCATTCCCTCTTGATTGCTTCTGCAGTTTATGAACCCTATTTACGTGCTGGTGCGAACCATTCAGATCTACCAGAGCCTCTCCTACCCCCTAAAGTTCACACCCCACCACGGGGCTCAGCAAAGCCACTAGAGACGTAAACCATTCCCCTGGTCCATCATGGGCCAGCCTCTCTCTGAACTGTCCTGTGAATCCATCCCTATCCAACTTGGTGAACTGGGCATCAAATATGTTCCTCTCACACTCAGTCCCCTAGTAATGGCTGTCTTTCTGCTATTGTCTTTCAGTTCAGAACATTCATGAGGACATCAGTGGGCAATAATCAAGTGCCCTGTGTGAGCCAGCCCATCAGGGACTGATGCTCTCATACTTCTTCAGATCATGCAGCTTTTGTCTTGAGGAATGCGTAGCTATATTATTCAGTTTTTCCTGTTTCCGCAGTACTCAAACTGATCCCATCTGCATCCCACAGCCTCATGAACCAGGCTGTGATAGGTTCTTTAATTGCTTGTTTACAAGTCCTTCCCAATCCAAGCATAGTTTTTATGCTGGGTCATGATTAAGAGCCCCCACCTGCATGTTGAATCGTGGATCGTGCCTTCCTTTGAATTAAAGGTCGGGCATGAGGGTGTCTTTTGCCATCTTTACTTTGGTCTCTTCTTTCTTGCTATTCAACTCTTCCATGAGCTCCACATTTTCGGACCCCAGAAAGGGCTCTTTAGTATAGATCTTACATGTACTCTCTTGTCCTTGCATCCTGCTAAGAAACGGCAAGCCAACATTGCCATCTCCTCCCTTTTTTCCTTCTATGCTTGACAAATTAGAGGCTAATGTGGAGGCTACATGACATATCTTTTTCCCATTGCAATTCCTCCCTAACAATGGCAAGTTCTTTCTGGGAGGAAAACTCAGCCTTAGCTGCATGTCTTATCATGTACAATATAGGCCACACAACTGATACCACCAGCCTGCTTACAATCCTATCCCCTATGTGCTGCTTGTAGGGATTGCAATATGTTCTCTAGTTCATTAGAGGTTTGCGGAACATCCGAGTATTCACACAGTGGACTCTGTTCATTAAGGAGGCATGCCACTCTGTATCACATTGAAGATAGACACCTGAATATCCCCCAAATGACATTCTGTTCTCTGACCACTCAGCCATGCTTGCCGGTACTACCATGCTCAGCCTTGCAGCATGCAACCACCTCAAGGAGGCACATCATCCCATGCCACATGGGGAAAAAGCCACATAACGATTGTTCCCATAGGCATTCCACCCTCTCGTGGATCAGCCTCAGATGCGTGCATCGGCACCCACTGTAGGGACCATGCAACCACTCTTTCTCGACTCATTTTTGCTTCTGTCAGTCCCTGTTCAGGTGCCTTTTCCTGAGGATACACAATAAATATCTATTTACCCCAGATAGGGCACTGGTGACAGAACAAAGGCATGATGACACTCAAGTGTAGTTTGGTAAACCAATGCGTTTATTGGGGTGATTACAAAGGTATGGCTGAAGGGTTACTTATAGGAGCATGGGTGACAGAAAGATAGCTGCATCACCAGAAAGCCCGCCCCAGGAACATGGGTGACAGCTGGACCGGTCAGTGTCTCCTCAGCAGCTGGTTCCAGGTTATATAGTCTTGGGGAGGGGCCTTGTGAACCTTTTAAGTTCCAGCTTTCTGATATTTGTAAGTTTTGTTTGCTTCTTGAGTCTAATAAGCCTCCTCCTTCAAGGGGAATGTTTCAGTTTAGCGGAAACTGCTACACGGTAGCAGCTCCAGCATGAGGTGAAGGAGCTTCCTCAACTCACTGCAGCCTGGAAGCAGAGGGCCATATAGGAACAGGCCCCGACAAGACAAAACGTAGCCCCCAAGGATATCTCTTCCAACTTGGCCCCTCCTATCATTAGCCACCTTCCAGTAGTGCTATAATATTCTGCATCCGTCAGACCATAAATCCATTCATTAGGTCAGACTCCTCAGGATCTAACAATCTTTGGAAATACCCTCACAGACAACCCCAGAGATGTGCACCACTAATTCTTTAGGTGTTTTTTTTTTTTCATTTCATCAATTCGACAATCAAAATTCACCCATCTTTCACTTGCTCCCATGGCAGAAGCAAGAAGACAGCTCTCCCCAGCCTTTTACAAAGACACTGATTCCATTCAAGAGTCCCTTTTCATGATCACTCAAACTCCCACTTAATGTCACCTTGGAGACTAGAACAACTTTTCTTTCTTTTTCCCTTTGTGCTATATCTTGAACACAACACTTTCACATGCTAGACAAGTGGCCTACCACTGATCTACATCCTCATCCCTGGGGGTTAAGATTTTAGCACATGAATTTTAAGGAGACACAATCATTTACACAATAGCGTCTATTTAGGTAGCTATCCAGCTTTATAATAAGTCTTCTTCCCACATTGGATTTCCATTATTTCTTTATCACTGGGCTACCAGCTGCATTAGTGCTAGAGCATGGCCAACCCGTCCTGTTCTCTCCCCTCCTTGGCACAAATGCAAAAAGCGTGATCTTCCCACACTTTCTGAAGTAAAGTTTATTTGACATTGGAGGCTATGCCTTGATGATTCACTGCTCTTGAACTAATCCCAGATCTAAATAAATGGAAGAATTTATAAAATAAAGACCCATTTATGCATTCTAGAACTCACCCTTTCTCTGTTGCTTCTTGATCAATATATGCGATATTCTGATATTTGTACATTCATGAGTAGCATGCCATAACCCCCAGGGTCCAAGCACAACCATATCACAGACACACCTGGTACCCATTACCCCTGGTAGTCCTCCCATCACAGTCAGGGCCAGGAGATATGATAGCCTCGGCTCTGGTCTCGGCCCCTGTGAAGAAGCCACGGCACCTTGGTGGTTCATCTGTTCAGGCTGGGGGCTGTCTGGGAGGCAGGGCTGCTACAGACTGCACATCTGCCTCACACTTTTCTTGTCTTGCTTGAAGCTTCTAGTTCCTCTTTCCTCAGCATTTTTGTCTCCACACTTCTTGGTGCCTTTAAGAATGGCCTTTTGTTCACTATCAAGAGGAATCTGCAGCCTCATCAGCTCTAACCCTGCCTCCCTCCACCGTCTGGGCAAAGCCTTACTCAGAAAAAAAAAAAAAAAAAAGCAGAAACAAAGGATGAGGGTGCTGGCAGGGGCACAGTACACAGAACCAAGGAAAGGATCCCCGGCCTGTATTGCCACCTGCTAGTACAACCTTGCCAGACTAGAGGATTCTGGGTCTATTCCAGCTCAACACGTCAGACCCTAATTATGACCTGAAACATGTATATATTCAACAAAATTGTACTGATGCTTGTCTCTGGATAGTAAAATGTTAGAAATGTTTTTTTCTTCTCTTCATTTTGCAAATAATGCATACAAGTGGCGTTGTGTTGTGTGTGTCCGTGAGCACAGAAAGAGCACTAAGCAGACGCAAACATCCTTTTATGATGAGAAAATGAAACCATTTTTAAAGTAAACGCAGAGGAAACAGAAAGGCCCAGCTAGAGGTCCCCAGACCAACAGAGTGCTGCTGGGGCAACCTGGTTCACCCAAAGGCTAAGTCTTTGTAAGCGCCTCTGGCGCCATCTGCTGATCATCCCCCCCCCAGAACTCACTTTTGTTTTGTTTTCCAGTAGCGATCATAACGGAGCACCTCAAGAAGTCCCTGTGTTAGGAGGGGTAGTTCTAGCTCTCCTCCCCACTGAATCTGAGCATTCTGCAGTAGGGAAACCCCTCAGGAACATTCAGCCCCTTTGCGCCAGGTTGGTTTCAGCTCCATCTGGTTCTACTCCTGGGCTCCCATAGGTCTGTAACTTCTTGACCCTAGGGCCAACTTTGAGCTTCAAGCATCCTAAGGGATCCTAAACAGCCCAAAGTCCTGGGAAGTCCTCACATGTGTCCCTCCACTCACACATTAGTCCTGTTTTCCCCACTACCCAAGAGAAACCCTTGTGGGCCCCAGCTACAGGGCATGGGGGTCCAGGCAAATGCTTGCCCTTCTGAGTTGACCCTTCCCATACAGGCCGCCGGGAAGGGGCCCCTTTGCCGTCAGAGGCTGCTCTATGGAGCAGGATGGCAGATGTATCCCCCAGGTTTCTTTATGCCCTCTGCTGCTGACACTGAAAGCATTCTCTAGTTGCAATTCTAAAAGTAGTTCTCAGACCTTTCTGAACTTCAAATTTTTCACGTGGTTTTTATCAGTGAAAAGGAATGAGAATTTCCAACCTCCAAGATGGAGGAGTGGCCAGGGAACTCTGATTGGTCCTGTCAGGGAGGGAAGACCTGCCCTGTTTGGAGGGTGACAGGGAGGCCCCTTCCCCCAGCAGCTCCTATATAGCTGGATGGTGGCCTGGGGAGAGTGTTCTGGGGAAGTTCCCGGCTCCAGGCTCCAGAGACTCACTGTAGCAGACAGCCAAAGTAAGTGGCGGGCTTCCTGACCAAACTCCTGCAGTGACCTCTCTGCTCCCCTTCCAGGAGGGGTCCCAAGCAGGGAAGCTCATAGCTTCGGGTAGGCATTCCTGGGCTCTGATGCTCCAGGGTAATGTTACTTCAGAGTTGGCCCGTTTGGGGAGGGGGGGTTGTTCTGCTTTTAAGCCCTTGCCTATAAAAACTAAGTCCTTTCTCAAGAAATCTGTGCCTCCATTTAATATATATAATATATTGTATATATATTTGACTCATTCTTAAAGATCTACATTATTACTCTTATTTAAGCTTTCTCTTGCCAAGAGGGATGGGCTGATGACATGAGGTGTGGTCCCTGTTTGGGAAACTAATGATCATTTGCTCTATGCTTAGAACTCTTTGGAAATAGCTGGTTTGAATTCACTGTAATTGGAGATAGAGGGGTTAGAGGCTAGATGCTTCACCTACCTGAAGGCTAAGACAGGCAATGCCCACAAGTAGGGGTAGGATAATGAGACCCCCTTGAGCCCTCCAGGGGTGACAGGGGCTGTTCTTAGGCTGGAGTTGGCTTGTTTTTTTGTTTGTTTTGCTTTTAAAATAAGCACTGGTGTCACACCAGAGGAACATCAAGCATCAAGGGATGCTATAGCAGGTACTGGAGATGTGCCAGGGCTAAGCATACTGCTTCAGCCTCCCCCAGCTCTGTCACTCCACAGGATCCAGAGTAAATCATGTAGGTGACAGCCTTGGCCCATTGTGCTGTAGGAGCCCTTTCTGTGTCCCTGATCCATACAGACAAAGGCCCTTATGTTGGCCTTCGAAGTGGATTTCCACAATGGCCACTGTAGTTTAGGAATCAGATGTCATGGGTTACTAGAATTGGCATGGATTGGGAGGAGGGTGGAGTCCCTGACAGCAGCAGCTGTTTGGATACTCTGGGGCTACCTTGGCAGCCCCCCAAGCCCTGCTAACCTCCCCTCTTCTCATTTCCCTTGCAATCCCTCCAGTTCCTGGTTTTTTATTGACTTGGGGGTCTTCATGCACCGGCAGTGCAAACCATGAGCAGCGTCTGTACAGAAGTCATTGTGAGGGGTAGGGTACAGGTAATGATGCATGGTGTCAGTGTTAGACAAAGCCAGATTCAAGTCGGCCACCTACTACTGTGCAGATTTAGGCAAATTACTTGGTATCTCTAAATCCCAGAACAACTTTGTATAAAACAGGATAATAATGCTCCTACTCCATGTAAAAATTAAGTTAGACCGTGTTGCAGAAGGGCTTGACACAGTAGCTGACATTTAATAAGTGTGCAGTAAAAAGGATGAACAGGGCCACATCGTCTCCTGGGGGTGAAACTGGAAAACATGCCTACACCAAGTTTCGGTAATGGTGACTGGGGTCCAGGACTGTGTCTATCCTTCTTCCTCCTACCTTTCCCTCCTGGCTATCACCCCTTTAGGCTCTCCAGCCAGCCACTGGCTCCACCACCAGTTTGTTAGGGTAAACAACAGAATGTGTCTGAAACTGTGCCAGCTTCGGGCAATAGAAAATAAGAAAGGAAGACTATGATCAGAGGTGACAGAGGCATTTGATTCCAGCTCTTAATCTCCCAGGGACCCTTGACTTGAAAAGACTCAGAAGAACCAAAGATCCGCCTTCCACTGCGCACATTTTCCCATGCATAATCAAAGGCTTTCTACCTGCAGGTTGCAGCTTCTTAACTGTCTGTCCCCAAACAGTGAAGATCAGGTTAAGGGGAGTCATTCCTGGCAAAAGCAAAGAAACCTGGTCGTGTTTAGTTAACCCTGGGCAAGGGGAGCCTGGGATCCCATTATGTTCTGCTGTCCGTGGGAGGGGCAGGAGGCCCGTGTGGGTAGGGAGGCTGACAGTCCAGTCTTTCTCTTGCAGAGTCTCACACCATGAAGAACCGTCCCGGCGCATGGGGGCTGGCCATCCTCTGCGTGCTGCTCGCCAGCCACCTCTCCACAGTCAAGGCGAGAGGCATCAAGCACAGGTTCAAGTGGGGCCGGAAGCCCCAGACCAGCGGCGACAGCCAGATCACCGAAGCGCGCATGACTGAGCACCGACCCGGAACTTTCATTAAGCAAGGCCGAAAGCTGGACATCGACTTCGGAGCGGAAGGTAACAAGTACTATGAGGCCAACTACTGGCAGTTCCCAGATGGGATCTACTACAACGGCTGCTCTGAAGTCAACGTGACCAAGGAGATGCTGGTGGCCAGCTGCATCAACGCCACGCAGGCGGCCAACCAGGCGGAGTTCGCGCGGGAGAAGCAGGACAGCAAGCTGCACCAGCGCGTGCTGTGGCGGCTGATCAAAGAGCTCTGCTCTGTCAAGCGCTGCGATTTCTGGTCTGAAAGGGGAGCCGGATTTCCGGTCACTGTGGACCAGTCGGTGATGGTCTGCTTGCTGGGTTTCATTTGGTTCATCATCAAATAAAATGGCAATGAGGCTGGTAGCCACCAAGGTGAGCCTGTGTGCAGAGGTGGAGAAAGGTACCCCAGTTCTTACCACCGACCTCCAACCCCCAAGCATCATGAACGTGCCAAAGGGGAGTGACTCATTGGCACTCCAAAGGTCCCTCCCCAGTACTCCCAGTGTGTTTGTATTTGACAGTGTTCCAGTAACCCCCAGGCTGCACCCCTGTGAGATCTGGCCTATTGCTTCCTCATTCTCAACTCCCAGCAGTGTCTGGCTGCTACCCTGGGCAATAATGAAGGAACACGGGAATTTCCTGCACACTCCACCGGATTTCCCAAATTAGAGGTAGATGAAGAAACTGAGGCTCAGAGTGGGGAAGTAGCTCGCCAGTATGTGGCTAGAAAGGGGCAGCCCCGGGATTCCATGTAGTCTGTCTCCCCTCAGGTTTTCTGTTGTGTGCATCCCAAGCTGCCTCGTGGTCACTTTACCACTCATAAGCCCAAGTGCCCCTGTGTGTGGAGTGAAATGTGGAAGTCTGCATTCTGAGCAATAACTGCATGCTGAAGCCTTCCAGTGAATCTAAAATATAGCAAAGAAGCTAAACTAAAGTAGAAACAAAGCTAGACAAAAGCTCTAGACAAATTGCCACTCAATTCCCAAAGACCAGCTTCCTAGAGGAATCAAGATTTTTTTTTTTTTTTTTTTTCAAAAGAAGGTTTTGGTGTTTGCCATTCTTCACCCAGCAATGGTCTGTGGAGTTAAGAAAAAGACTGTAAATTCCACTTTTGTGTCTTTGTCTGTTGTTTTTTTTCAAATGTGATCTTGCTGTGTAACCTAGATTGGCCTTCAACTTCTGATCCTCTGGCCTCGGCCTCCTGAGTGCTGGGATTATGTAGGCATGCCACCAAGTTCTGCTGCGTGTTTACTTCTGATGCTCCCCTGGCCTTCTGTATGCATTTTTAGGAACCCCATGAGCATCTTTAAATATGTTCCCTTTCTACCAAGCTCCCCACAATCTCTATCAGCCCCTTTAACACCACTTTGGCTTAGCACTGCAAAAATATGATCAGTGGCCAAAACAGCTAAAGAAAAATGACATATTTAGAGCCACCCAATAAATAATTTTTGTCTGCCATAACAAGAATTGATATACCACTTTATGAATTTAAAATATGAGCATTATTTAAGTAAAAGATAATCTAATATTCTAAGACGCTCCCACGGGCCCTTGGGCCCTCCCAGAGTCCTGTGACTGTAGATAACCACTTCTGAGTGTGTTCTCTTTAAAGAACATCTATAATGGGCATGTGTATTGTCAGATAATTTATCTGCAACATTTCAGAGCATAGATGCTGATAACAGAACCTCCTGTGTGAGTTCCCATGGCTATCAGTTCTTCTCAAGGATACCTCTGGAAGGTTTCAACATGGAAAGCAAGTGAATGGCATAAGGGGACGGCAAGGGGGGAGGGGGCAGGAACACAGCCTTCCACGGGAGCCTTCTTCTACAGTCCGCTGCTGCAGGCAGATGCTCTCCCTCTACTCCCACTATATACTAATCCTAACTCAGAGAGTGGAGAGAAGCCCAGAACATACAGATTATTCCTTGCATACCGTTTAAAAACTATCACTGGGAATAAAGAAAGAAACTTCTTAGAGGATGATGTTGATGATTCAATTCCTGTCTCAAGGCTTAATTACCAAGGCACACAGAGCCATCAGTAATACAGCTTCATTTTTTATGTGAAAATGCTGGGGCTGGATGTAGTCCAGGCTCTAGAACTACTGTCTTTTCTCACGGCATTAAGTCTCATCTAGCAGACTTCAGAATGGTGAGAAATGAGTGAGGACATGATGATCCAAGTGCAAATTTTGCTTCTAAAGTTTTTAGCTGACACCTCATGCACCCGAACCTCCTTGCTCATGTTTATAAATCAGAAGTGGACATTTTGAATCTTGCTTTGACTTTGGCCAAATATGGTCAAAATTATTGGGTGCCTAATAAGTATAAGGCACTCGGGGGGTACTTCTAAGTCATTCTTTTTTTTTTTTTTTAAAATAAAAGGAAGAGTTAATTTGAGCTTATGGTTCCAAGGGAATTACAGTCCATCTTGGCAGGGAGGCATGGTGGCAGAGGTGGCTGGAGGAGGAGCAGAAGCTAAACTCTCAAATCTTCAAGTAGGCACAGGAAACAAGAGCAACTGGAGATCCAGCAAGGCTTAAGAACTCTCTAAGCCCACCCCCAGTGATGTGCTTCCTCCAGGATAGCCACACCTAAGACCTCCCAAAACAGCGCCACCATCTGGGACAAAATGTCCAAATACTTGGACACTGGGGACATTTTCATTCAAACTACCACATTCCACCCCCTGGCCCCCATAGGCTCATGACCATATAAAATGCAAAATGCATTTAGTCCAACTTTAAAAGTCCCCATAGTCATTATCAGTCTCAATACTACTCAACAGTCCACAGTCCAAAGTCTCTTCTGAGACTCAGAGAAATATCTTAAGTGTAAGCCCCTGTAAAATCAAAAGACAAATTACATACTCCCAACATACAGTGGAACTGAATACACATTACCATTCCAAAAGGGAGGAACAGAAGCATAGTAAGGAAATACCGGGCCAAAACAAGACCGAAAACCAGCGGGACAAATACCAAATCCAGTAGTGCCACGTCCGACTTCTGGGACTTTACTAAATAAAGTAGCCACTTGCCATGATTTCGCCAGCCATACTTTTCTTGTCCCTTTCCTTGTTAAAATGTGTGTGTTGTGAAAGTGGGAGGAAAATGGCAACACAGATTTGAAGTGGACGTGAAAGTGGCTGTAATTTATTACATTTGTAATAATAATAATAATAATGCAGGTGATCCTTTTTGTTTGTTTTTTGCTTTTTGAGACAAGATCTCCCTGTAGCCCCAGCTGGCCTGGAACTTGTTATATAGACCAGGCTGGCCTCAATCTCACAGAGATTCACCTGCCTCTGCATCCCAAGTGCTGGGATTAAATGCATGCAACACCACACCCAGTTTGCAGATGAACTTTTTAAAAAATGTTTTATTTATTATTTTTATTTTATGTGTATGAATGTATTGCCTGTATGTGTGTGAGTGTACCCATGTCATGCAATGCTGTGGAGGTCAGAAGAGGGCTTCAGATTCCCCGGGAACTGGAGTTAAGGACGGTTTGTAGCTGCCATGTGGGTGCTGGGAATTGAAACTGTGTCCTCTGCAAGAGCAGTCAGTGCTCTTAACCACTGAGCCATCTTTCCAGCCCCTGCAGATGAACTTTTAATCCTAAATTTTTACTTAAGTTCATTCAATGCTTTTTGTTCATTTTTCTGACTTCTGTTTTCTTGTTTTCCCAGTCCACCCCTCCTATTACTGCACTCAAAATGTAAAGGCAAAGTTTTTGGTTTTGTTTCTGGGTTTTTTTGAGACATGCAGCACTAGCTAGCCTGGAACTCACTATGTAGACCAGGCTAGCCTTGATTTCACAGCGATTCACCTGCCTCTGTCTCCCAAGTGTTGGGATTAAAGGCATGCACCACCACACCCAGCAAAAGCATGGATTTTATTTTGCTTCATTACAACTTTTAAAATGCCTAGAATAGAATGCATAGAATATTTATTCCTCTGCAATTTGCCTTCTTATCATGAAAGGTTATGAATCAACATCTAACTGCTTAACCAGCATGCCCTTTGAGATGGCTGTGTGATATTACATAGCACAGTTGTATGGCTGACTTAGTCATTTCCTTGCTGGTAGACTTTTAGACTATTTTCATATTCTCACAAACAATTAACACCTTTCTACAGACAGCCAAGAACCTGGTGCTTTTATTTCTGAAGAATACTTTCAGCCTTGCAGAATTTCTGAAACACAGAGGGTATGTAGCTTAAACATACCCAGTCATGTGAGAGCATAGCTAGTGATTCCCATCTCCTGGCAGTGTGAGAATGACATGGGCTGGAGAGAGTCCCTGGATACTGAAGTGTGAGAAGTGCTGTTCCCATGACACTGTCTATGAATCTTCTTTCCTCGGCAGAGGGCACACAAAAGCTTCCTAAGGAAGTCTCACCTAAGGACCATCAGCAGTGCCCACTCCAAACCTGGTCCTTGACTCAAAACATCTGGAAGAGAAACATGGAAATCAGGCAGTGCACATGTGAGTCTCCTACTCAGAAGACAGTGTCTGGGCAACTCCATGTTCCCAGCATAAGTGGGGTGAGGTTTGGATCTGGCCTTTTGACAGACACAGTACAGTTGTCCCTGCCAGCCCTGCCAGCCCATGTGCTCCAGAGAGAAGACCTTCCAGATCACAAGGCTCAGAGGGAGAGGATGGAGGCCTGTTGCTGTAACCTCGCTCTCCTCTCAGTTTGAGCATCCAGCCATCAAACCTGTCCAGGCTCACCTGGCCTAGGAGGCACCTGTCAGCCTGGAAGAGCTCTACCTCTAGCCTTTTGAGGTATGCTTCCTACCTCAAGCTCTCTAATAGCCAGTGACTGGCTTGGGTGGCATCTCACTGAATCAGCAGCCCTGAGCCCTGCTTTACCCACAAGGTGGGTATATCCAGACCTCTACCCAGTACTTTATGCCTGTTACTGTGTACAGCTGGACAAGGGTGCCTAAGGTGCCCAGGTGTTCCTGCATAAAACATTCTGGAGTCTATCAGGATCTATACTGAAATACTGGCAGAAGGGCTCACCCCCAAAGGCAGGCAGCAGTGGCAAAACCTTCCAGGAGAGTGATCAAGAAGACCTCAACTGATGTGGCATTGGGACCAAGTCCAGTGTCCTCCCCACTGGGAGCTTAGACACAGCTTTGCTGAAGGGAACACCTCTTGACAAGCCTGGCCAGGCCAATAGCCTCATACTTGCCCTTCCCACCCCAAGGCATGAGTCCAAAAGTGCAGTGTTCTCCTCTGATCCTCTCTGCTGGCAGATCCGTTTCAAACTGGGCACTTAGCTATCTTGGTGGAAGGCAAGGAACCAAACCAGTCTCTGCTGGAAATTCAGGACCTTGTCAATAGGAGTAAGTCAAGCCTTCCCAGCTGGTAGGAACAAGCCACCATGCTTTGAGATAGCTTTATGCCCATTCTAGACCATTCAAAGCCAGCCCCAGGAAAACACATTCAGCTGCTTCCTTGGCAAATGGGAACTGTCACTTGGGCTTGAGGGTCTCAGGGGGGAACCTTCTGGACCCCAAACCCAGAGGTCATGGAAGAATCTATTTCTCTAGTGCTGTGTTCAAGTCCTCAGACTGGTATAAGCCTCATGAGATGACCATATTTCATCTATAAAGACCTTCCTGGTTGGCACAAATTTGATCCCCCAAATTGTTCCTCTTCCAGTACTAAATTGTCAGCACTTCCCTCAGGAGTCCTTCCTTGTGCCCTGGCCTCCGTTGGCCCGCCTACCTGGGGATTCCCAATCCTATTTTAATGCTAACCCTTTTGTGGAAAAGTGTTGCCTTCTTAAACAATGTAGATTGTTTTAACTGCAGCAATCTTGACTATAAACTGTGAAAGGAAATTGGCAGGAGGCCAGAGAGGAACCGGAGGAAGCTGGGAAACAGACAGCTCAGGGCCAGAGGAACTAACTCAGT